TTGTAGCATACTGGCACGTTTACATGCGTTTTTGACAGGCATGCAAAGACATTTGCAACAGATGCCAGGAGATACGTTGGGTGGGGGGTGACATTCTGTAAGGTTCCAGCACATTACCCTGATCCAGGAAATCCTGGCCACTACATGAACGTGTTCAAGATTCCGACTACGCTGAATGATGGACAACAGCAACTTGTTGATAATTTTGCCCCTAGAGCCAATTTAAAATTTTTTTTTTAAAGACGGTGCCATTTCATCTGGCGCTAGTGAGGTGAAAGAAGCAGCAGATCGGTAGTTTTGTTGAGGAGAAGCACATGCTTGAGTATATCAGACATCTTGAGGAACTGCAAATTGTATCTATGATAAGAGAGAATTCCGGATAGTACTCCTTCGATTCCGAATTCTAGAGGGGGGGGCATTGAAAATTTTAAAAACTTGGGGGGGCATCGAAATTTACCAATAACCTCAACAGGGGCCCTGTAAAAATATGAGCTGTTTTCAAGACATCTTCATCCCCCTCCCTTGGTGTAATAAATGTACTTCCCCTAAAAGTCTTAAGAGTCATGAGGTCAAAAATTTTATTCTATATAATATGAAAAGATGAATATAAACATACCTAAATTTTGTTGCCAATATCTTTTACGCCTGGTTATTCCTACATAGCATTGACCATCCTAGCGTTTGCTCACGCCTGCCCGTGCTCTGTTTGGGAAGAAAGAAAGAAAGAAAAAAAGAAAGAAAGAAACATAGCTCGACACCTGTCAAATTGTCCAGACTCGCACAGATGATTTATCTAATCTACACGAATGGACATTTGCAACTCAAATGTACAATATCATGTGAAATAATTTCGGAATCAGAAGCGCTGGGACATGCTGCGCCAGCGACACCAGCTATATATTACTTACGATATACTTTTAAATTAAACAAGTGAAATGATCGCAATAATATATTCTGTAAAGCACCACATTATTATAGTGTTTTGAAAACTTAAAATTACTTTCAAGTAGCCGATGCATGGATAGCATAAATATTTAATTAGCATGGATATGCATGAATAGTTAATTAGCTGTGTCCCACTGCATGCGAACGGTTGAAGAAAACTAAAGAATTAAAGATTCTGGTAAGTTTCTTTTTACTTTCTATGGGTTTAAATTTCTCCTAGAATTATCTGGTGTAAATCTGGGAGTTAAAGATGTTAACTGTAAGCTGCTCATTTCAGGTGTCTCTCGGCAATTTCAAGCAAATGTGACACATTATGTATAATACACAACTGATTGCTCGCCCTCTCTGTTTCTTGCGAATCAGTATAATAATAACACTGATACTCATGCATCTTCCAACAGTTCCATTTATGCAATTGAATAATTCAAATATTGTGAACTTTGTTTAGCATCCGGATTGAACTGCAAAACCATTTTGTTTAAACGTTCACAAGATGATTGACATTAGTCGATCTTGCTGTTTTGTTTAAGTTTTTGTAAGCATGAATCAAATTTTAGTTTGAATCATTTTGTCCACAATAAAAGGAAAATGCTTACTTGAAAACATGCTTCGGCATTCCATCCGTAGCTACAAGACCGTTTGACATTTCATGAAAAATTTGCTTAATAATAACATGCACTAGCTGATATTAAACATTTAGTTGTAATGTATGCTCATTCAAGTAGGAGGCAAATTTAGAGGCAACGATAAAAAAGCTGCGATTTCTAACTCTTTGACCTCGGTTACACAATACTGCATGGTTTCGCATTTTAACGACATCAACATGTGCCTTTGCTATAGGCGGAAGGTATGGCCGCAAATAATTTTCCTAATAAATTATGTTATCATAATTTTATATGTTCAGATATTTCTGAAACCTTTAAATTCGATTCGTACAAGCGAGTCCAGTGTCTTGCATGTTACTGGAACATTAAATCGAAGGCGAGGCATGATTACAAACCTACATTTATATTCACTGAGCTGCGAAGCATCGAAGTGAATATATACTCTTGTGATCACCGAGCCTGTAAAAGGAGCTTTTGTCTTTCTGAAATAGGTTAACATTATACAGGTGTATCAAAATAAACGCAATTCATCTTTTGTGCTTAATAACTTTCGAAATGCTATCTCTAGTTAAATGCTTTTAGGCTTACTTCAAAGCCTGTTCTTTTCTCTTTCAAACAAACTATTATCCTTGTCTCCAATGCTAGTAATAATTGCACAGGAAAAGATTTAGTAAAACCTATCATTTTTAGTTGCTGTTTAATTATGCAAGTTTACTATGTTATTGTTTAGTCGGTTTAAATGTTAGAATTTCTTCTTTAAACTTTAATGTTGTCGCCACTACATCTGGAAAACCACGTAAGAACAAATTAAAAGTATTTAAAAGAGACCAGCTTGTTTGAAAATCCTAAACGAATGCCAAAAATCGTCAAAACATTCTGGTGTCTAGATCTGAGCCAGAGTGTCATCGAATTGCGATGTAATGTAAACAGAAATTATAGCAAGTTGATGTCAGTCAGCTTAGATGGTCCAAGCCAAAATTATATCGCATTTGAAGTTTTAAACTGAGTTACAAATAGTGGAAGAAAAGCCGTAATTATACTTATTGTTACAATCCATTTAATAAAATGTAACATTTTTTTGTTTTAATGAAAAAATCAGTTATTTTCATGAGAACGATTTGTTATTCCATCTCAATTTTTTTAATCTCCAATCGCAATGACGTAAAGTATTATTACCCGCGAACCAATGAGTCAAATTTAAGAAACAACCCACTGTCAGAAAGCTGAATGGCTACGCTTTAAAATGAATGTAAACTTTAACGTTTTCGTCTATTATTTGTTTAGCAATTTACATTTCAGTCGAGAATTGCGTTTTTTTTGATACACCCTGTATATTGTTGCTTCTTTTGCTTTTAGAGGAATAGTATGTGCTTTAATTTCTTCATTTTTTTCTTCGATGATATGTTTGCAAGTGGATTTTCGGCAGCCATTTTGTTTTGAAAGCAATAGTTAGTGCTCAAAGCAGTCTGAGTATATATAGTAACTATTGCCTCAGAGTTAGTTCTAAGGGAGTCAATCAGAACGCTTGAAAGCCACTCTTTAATACTAAATTCGTGCTAAAAGTAACTTGAAATAAATTAGGTCTTATTTGGAATGAAGTCAGAACGGTTTCACCGTTTGTGGCGCTATGCAGCTAGTCGAAAAAGACCAAACCAAACAACGATGAATTATCTAGCAAACATTAAAAGAAACTAATCTCACGAAAGATTCAATTTCGCTATAGATAGAATCGATTGGATGGGACTTATTAATAATTCTCAGTCAATTATTTTACCAAAGTCATCAAAGCAATGGACATTCTTCAATGAATATTTGCATAAAGTACATTTATAATGAAATATTAATCAATTTAATTGTCCACTAACTACACAGGAGACTAGCTTATTTATTTTTGACATGAATTAAAATTAATAAAGAAACTATATATACTGCCACCGTAACTTTATCAGTTATTTCATTCATTGTGTCGTCCAGTCATTGATTAAAAATGATCGTTACCACAGCAGTGACATAGCCAGGTTGTACATTTGAGGATAGCATGCAGGCTGTGGAAAATTCAGCGGACGGGGGGTGCGCCGGCTGCGGGTGGCGAACTTGCGCTCGGTCTAAACTTGTCGACTACAGTTATTTATTCATAAACTATATTATTAGATCGAGAGATCCGAGTATCCAAGCGCAATGAAGACTTTTAAAATCTGGAGGCTCAATGTCATTTTTTTCTGACAAATTTTTGTTGTAAAATAAATAAAAATTCACTAGTCAACGTATACTTACACTCAGGGACGCCGGAACTGGGAGGGGGGCAGGGGTGGCGGCTGCCCCCCTTGCCTTTTGCTAGGGGGGCAGGGGGGGCAGAAGTGCCCTTTTAGTTATAAAATAATACGTGATAAATCACATTTCCAACGATGCTTTTTGTAGGAAAATCACGAGATTCAGGTAATTTATAGTTTATATTTATAAAAATTTTGGGAAATTTTTGGAATTTAGAAAAATATTTTGAAGAAATGGGGAAAATTTAAGATATCCGGAAAAATTTTTGGCTTCACGGAAAATTTTTGTATGTCCGTGGGGGGGGAAGGGTCGCTGCAAAAAATTTTGCAGTGAAAAAAAAAATTTCAGTCAAGGTGCCCTTTGTGTGCGTCCGCCCCCCTTTGCCCTATTATCGTTCCGGCGTCCCTGCTTCAGTTACACTTGAAAGATTTTCGGCCATCTGCGAATAAAATTTGCAGCTCTTCACATAGTCAATACCCAGCTATTCTTGATTGCTTTAATAGTTATAAACATTTAAAATTTACTTTGTAAATTCGACTCTCGCTATATAACAAAAACGTATTGAGAAAGTTCTTTAACCACAGCAGTTGCTCCTTTTCTCTATTTTAGATTTTTTTCGTTTTGAATAGTTTGAAAGACTTTTAGACGCTTTTTGCCGTTTGAAACTCGGCTCTCGTCGCAGCTTCGTAGGGCGGCAATAAAAATTGTGCATTGCCCGTGGGCAATACGAGAAAATCCTGCCTCGTCAGCAGCCAATCAATTTGCGCAATTCATCAAAACAAATGCTTGCCATATAATAATATATTGATTGCTGTTGTTGTATAGCTGTGCTAATTTGGCGATCAAGAATGTACCTGAAATATCAGTACATCTTCTACATAATCATTCCGCGCATAGTTTTGGTAATTATAGAAGGCGGAGCAGGTGAAAGTATGAATTTTTGTTTCAATTCAACTCTTGAAGGTAGGTAACGTGACTACCAACTTTCATGCGAAGGACGTTGATAAAAACATCGACGTTTTTATAATAACATATAATGACAGCTTCTTGTAGAATGCTTTCCACAGTGTACCTATCCTATGCAATTTAGTTATACCGAATTGATTATGTTCGCCAGGTTTCAGACTTAATACAACAGTTTGGTTGAATAAACGAGTTTCCAAATGGATAGAATGCATCATGGAATGTGTCAAGGAGCCATGTTGTAGGTCAATCAACTACAAAAAGACCATTCACAATGAACCAAATTGTGAAATGTTACATGACGTGATTTACAATACATCTGAGAATGTTTTGGAGAGAAACTCTTCTTATGATTATGTTTATCTGCTTGACCCACAAAAGGTATGAATTGACTGTAATCGAGCGAGATGCCAACAAAATCTTAAGATTACGTGAGATCTAGTCTATTATGTTTTCCTACGTGTATCCCATGGTGCTGCAGTAGTGCAGGGATTCTTTTGGTAAAACGTAAGCGAACCACAAGTATAACATTCCTAAAATGTGCCGTCAGTCTGTTTGTATGAATCGTGGTGGCAATATATTCAAATTTTCTTTCAATGTTCATATTTTAACAGCCTCGTTGAAATTTCATCCGGGAGCGCGCAATATGTAAATCCATGCGTCACGACGTACATGCTTCTCAAGTTGTACTTTGCACTGCGCGCAAAGTGATAATAAATTCAGTGCTCAGTGTAGAAAATTTATGGACAAATGCCTTATCAGAATAAATTGTTGGGAAGACTGATTGAAGCGGATCCTAAACATTTTTAAAGTCTAAAAATTTCAGCATCAGGAGATCCTAATAACATCGCAATGTATTTTTGAATATAATGCCACACTCGTGAATGTTGGCATTAATTGATTGTGAAATTATAAGTGGTTATAATTTTTCCGGGCCAGTACCTTGTAACATTAAAATTAAAATGATGCCCAACTGTTGCTGCAGAATGCTTGTTTTTTAATGACTTTTCTATGCTGTTTCCCCTTATAGAAATTTGAATTATCATAAAACATATGGAAACGTCACATAGTCGTTTACCTCAAAAGGTTGGCACAACAGCCTGTTTCATCTAAAGCCCTGGGGAAACTAGGAAGCATTGTTGTGGAAACTTTTGTGATTCTCGATGTTTCCTCAAATGTTTCCTGTTTGCCCACTCGTGGAAACATTGTTGCGAAAACAAAATTTGCTTCCCAAGAAGCAAAATGTTTCCTAGCAAATTCAGAAACATTTGATGTTTCCCTATGTTTCTCACTAATGTTTCCTAGTGTTTCCCAACTCTTGGAAACATGGCAAAACATTGGCAGGAATCAATGTTTCCGCAACAATGTTTCCTAGTTTGCCCAGGACTAAAGATGAATCATGATGTAGCTGACAAATTTCGAAAAGTGGGCTGCTTAAATATTTACAGCCGGAAACGTGGGCGTGTGGGCGTCAAACAATAGATACATTCCTTCCATTGTTATCATTGTCCACTCGTTCCTTTATCCTGGCGATAACAGAGTGACATAACAACGATATGTCACTGATATCCTTTTTATCACGGATAACACTTTTTGTCTCGCTATTTTAAAAATTGTTGCATAAACAAAACCTGCCAATATTATCTTTTTTTAGGAGTACAATGCAAGCTGCTTCGTTGTGGAAGCCGAAATAAAAGGTACATACTCTATGTTTTTATCGAGATTTTGGGGCTACAGTTGCTCGATTGAAATAACAGTTGAAGAGTTTTTATAAATGGAAATTTCGAACAGAAGATCATATACAATTTTAGACTTAACCATGCAGGAACAGTCATTGCTAGAAATGTAGACAACATAATTTCATAGCTAACCATGCAGGAACAGCTGAGAAAAATGCCATTTTTTCAAAATGTCTTTTGGCATGCAGAAATCTAATCTGCGGCCTTGCATTCAGTCCAATTGTCCAGCTGTAATCCAAAAGTTGTTGAATATGTATAGTGGGTGATGCCATTATAATATAGTATGGTTAAGTATCAAGCGCGAGATTGTTGGGTATCTCGCCTAGCTAGAATGGTCGATTCATGCCAGAGGGCCTATTATTTTTTGAAGCAACTCCTGATTATGTCTAAAATTGTGTAAAATCTTCCGCTTGAAACTTCCAGCTGCAAGAACACTTCATGAAATCTATGATTTAATTTTCTTGAACTTGTTAATATGGAGTTCAATTACGGACACAAACGTTTACACCTTTGTAACGCGAACACATCTCTACTATAAAAAATAATATACATAAAAATAGCACATTTGTGAAAAATTTATGCAAGCATTGGTAGTTTGGGTCTGCTAGCATTTTTACAAATAAAATTATTTTGAAAAGTAAATTTTCGAGTCCAGAAACAAATTTAAAAGTTACTTGCGCACAAAAATGCTACGTTTAAAACGCATTTTAAATTTAAAGGTTGCAAATTTAGAAGGTGGTTTGTTAACTATCAAAATATTAAACAACGTATCCAACATGCGACCTATAAATCGTTGATTTTTTTGCTGTAGTAGTCTTTGGATTCACCCATATTTTTTAACTGTTTTTAATGATTACGTATAGGAAATCAATCATGCATAAAATCAGTCAGGGGCGGATCTAGCGGTCGTCAAACCCATAGATATAGGAGATCTGGATTGCTAACGCATACCTGGCGCAGGCGGGGCCTACATGATAAATCCAAGATGGCGGTACAACAGGGCAAAAAGACTATAAATTCTATTATGAAAATCAGGATTTTTGCATTTTTTGCCGTCGCATTGTTTTGAAACTTATTCGGTCAAATTTTATGGTAAAGAGAAACTTACCGCGAAGATTTTGAGCATATACATGATTGAATTGGATAAAAACTCGCAAAATTATCCATCGACAAAAGTTCGTGTATAGTACTGATATAGTACTATATATGTAACTTGTACAGTTTTGCTTTAATTTTTGCTCATTATTTGCATAAAAAGCAAATTATAACAGACCATAGATGATAGACCCTCATCCAGTGCTCTCATCAGTTTACTTCTCTAACAAGCAAGGGGGGGGGGGTACATAACAGTTCATTTTTCACAATTATGAGGACAGAGCAGATGATGATGAGAGATGCAAGTATAAAACACCATTCACAAGGCTAGATGTTAACATAGCACAGTATTTCTGGCAATAAAACGCTCCAACTGACCGACTGACCATTTCACACGAACTTTTATCGCTGGATAACTTTGCAATTTTTCATCCAATTCAATCATATATATGCTGAAAATCTCCGCGGTACGTTTCTCTTTACCATAAAATTTGAAACAATGCGACGGCAAAAAATGCAAAACTCTTTTTGCCCTGTTGTACCACCATCTTTGATTTAATTATTATGTAGGCCCCGCCTGCGCTAGGTATACGTTAGCAATCTAGATCTCCTATATCTATGGTCAAACCAGTCACGCGACTAACGTAAAAATTGCAAACTTAATTAATTCTTAAATATTCCACCAATAGTCCAGGTATTTTTTATCATGCAGCGACACCTTATAATATAATTTTTATCATGCAGCGCTAGCAATTAACATTCCAATCGAACTGTGGTCCAGTGATCAAATTTCATACAGTGGCTGAGCCGACGAGCTTAGTCAAGTCAATGAGCAGCTGACATACGCAAAGTCGGTCAGTCAAAAAGTCAGAATCCAGTGTTCTGATTGGTTTAGACGCTTATTGCCATGGAAACAAGCGATTTTTTGCGATCTTGACTGATCTGTGGGGACTTCTGACCGATTTAAAAAAGTCAGGGGCGCCCCATTAGTCGGAAATATTTGACGTGTGGTAAAGTCTTTCCGAGCACGCGCTCAATCAAAGTGTCATGTTGGAGTTTTGTCTAAAGATCTGCTGGAATGTTTGTCTACGGAAAGTTCGGAAATGTCTGCTGCTCCAGTCCTTGTAGTATTTACGAAACGGTTCAATCCGCATTTGTGGTGAATGGTTTAGCTGTCTTACAAGACTGTTGCGCTGATCTTGGGAGGAAATTCGACGCTAAATATCGGAGAGTTCGATTCTGTAAGCAGTTGCTAGGCGACATGAGTAGCACGAACTACAGTTTGCTAAATATCGGAGAGTTCGATTCTGTAAGCAGTTGCTAGGCGACATGAGTAGCACGAACTACAGTTTGACTGCTTGAGTAGAAGTATTGGCGCCGATCTCTTAATTTTTTTCTGAAGTGCAGTAAGGTAAATTTAATGTGATATGTAAATTTTATTTCGTTTTAGACAGCATAACAATGTTTATAAGCGAACAAGATGTGCGCCATGCATATGTAAAATTGTAACTTGAATAAGCTTATTACACTGGCCTGTAGGCCAAGTGTCTTAAATCCCTTTTTTTCTGTTTTTTCCTGTGTTTTCCTGTTTTTTTCGTAGTCGAGAAATCGAGTTTGCGTTAGCTCATCGCAGGCTCAGGGTGCAACGATTAAGCCAAAATGCCATCGATTCCCTCGGTTCCGTGATTTATATAGTATAGTAATAAGCTCGTATTTATGTACGTAATAGCCGACTGTGCCATGCTTGTGGTACATTTTTTGTTTATTAGCCCATACACTTGTACGCACGCGCACAATTCCGAACCCCAATGGCGGCTTTTCACAGAGTGATCAAACTATATTTTACACAGTTTCGTTGAATTTTCAAAGAATTGTGCCGGTTTCCTATGGATTGTTCGTTGTGTCGTAATCTGGACTTTCTTGTGTGTTGAATTAATGTGTTTTTCTTTGTGTAACGACTCGAAAACCACAAAATTTGGACACAGCGAATTTATACGATATATAGAAGGATATTTAAACAAGGACAAGTTAAAGGTTTGACAGTTTGACTTAAATATACGTCGTGGACTCATAACATCCGTTGTGTACTTGTGTTAATTTTTGCGGCGCACTCTGAACTTTCTTGCCTGTTGCCAGTTAATGTTTTTCTTTTTGTATTAAATTAAACGACTCGAAAACCCCAAAATTTCATAAATTTGTACCCAGCGAATTTATACAATACATTGGAATATAAACAAGGACAAACTCTCCTAATTCCTTACGATAGTTTTAGTCAAATGTCGACAATATACCTTTAAATACATGTATTAAAATCCGCGCCGTACTAGAATTACGAGAATTCGCGTAGCTCTGGCCGCTGGGTGCGGAAATTTTAGTACTGCGCGTGCTTGCGTTTCGGAGGTCGACTTGTGAGGGTCCTACTAAATACTGCCCGGAGCGCCCGGGAGTGTTCGGGGACGCCCTGAAGCGCCCGGGAGCACGTGAGAACGCCCGGGGATATACAAGATAATATAAATCAGTGCACGATCCTTTTTGAGTCTCTATGAGGCATTATATTAATGTGGTAAGTCTACGCGAAATATAATCTGCGCGAAAAGCTTTGTGGTAGCTATAGTAAAGATAAAGCGTGCGTTCAAAATACCAACAAGAACTAGAACCATTATTGTATGGTTCTCATTTGCTACACTTACCACAAGTCGACCTCGAAGAAACGCATTTCGTTCGAGGTCGAATTGTGACAAGTCTACTCATTTGCCTAATACAATAACATTATTTTTTTTCCCTGTGTTGGTGTTGGTGTTGTGTACTCAGGTGAATAATATGTTTGCGATGTTACTCTGAGTGCATATCCACACCGGGCGAGCTTGAAAAATATGCCCGGCCACGGTGGGATTCGAACCTACGACCTTTGGAATGCTAGCCCAATGTTCTTCCAACTGAGCTACGCGGTCAGGACGGTTCGAGTAAGTGATATTTCGGAACAGTATCTAGTTCCTTCAATACCAATGTAATCTACTAATATGATTTTTTTCTGTGTTGGTGCTGTGTACTCAGGTGAATATGATATTTGTGATGTTACTCTGATTGTATATCCACACCGGGGAGCTTGAAAAATATGCCCGGCCACGGTGGGATTCGAACCTACGACCTTTGGAATACTAGCCCAATGCTCTTCCAACTGAGCTACGCCGTCAAGACGGTTCGAGTAAGTGATATTTCGGAACAGTATCTAGTTCCTTCAATACCAATGTGTTCTTGTAATATGATTTTTTTTTTTCAATTTGATAAAATGAAAAATCTTTCACAATTATCACATTTCTGCAAGTACTTCTCCTTTACTTTTCCCTAACGAGCGAGTTGTGAGAGTCAGACTGATAATTGCTATAATTATCTTCCATTTCATGAAGGTAATTTTTTGTTGAAGCTGCTTTCAGAGTGATGCAAATTGCGTTTCTGAGGTTTAAAAATATAAAATCCCCTCCCCCTTAGGTGCCTCGCGCAACGTACGAAAAATCATGGATCCGCCCCTGAAATCAGTCAATGACATGACACATTGAACGCGTGAATCGCTACTATGGCAAAAAATTAAGTTCACGTTTTGGGAGTCGCTCGTGGGATTTAACATCACATTGTCTGGCACTTTGATACAAAAAATACTTTTTAAATTGTCACCTTATGAATTCAAATTGCGTTTTAAACCTTCCATGTTTGTGCGCAAGGGGGTTGTAAATTGATTTTTTAAAGCAACCCTCCTGCAGTCGAAAATTTACTTTTCAAAATAAAAGTTGCGCAGTTTTGCGGAATTTACAATTCAACGAACATTTTCGATACACCCTGCTGGTATTACGGACAGTTTTCAATTCCCATCATACGTGCAAACTAATTTTGAAAGAATTATAATAAAACAGGCACCGCTCTTTTATGCAGCGTACATCCGAGCGTAATGGTAAGTAGATAAAGTAAATTACACTGTTTTAAGATTATAAATAATTTTAAATTTTGGCTCTTTCTAAAAAACACGTACCTATCAATGTATTTTCGCGTAAGACTGGATTAAAAATATCGTGATTGGTCAGCGGCGAGAAGATCAATTGTTTACTCAACCTACCCAAGACAGAGATCTTTCATCAATTCTTTCAGACCTAGAAAAAATGGGATCCCGCCCCTGTGTGCTGAATTGAGGAAATCTTTTCAAATTTTCCCACATTTGTTATCGGTAATCTCAACGAATCATTATAGAGAGGTTAAGATACCCCGGTTTCGGTGTACGCGTACTGGTAGCATGATTTTGGTTAGCCATATTTTCGTCAATGTCTGAACCTTTACTTGTAATTAAGGTGCACATTTTTCACATTGTATTGTCTATTGCAAGAAAACAGAAAAAGTATGATCGTATTACAGACATCAGTAAAGCAAGATGACACTAATCGTACCCGTACACCGTACCGGGGTATCTTAAACTCTCTATTATATCGTTCCTCCCCATCTCTTATTTCAGACATACCAACACAGTCAAGTTGTTGCATATACATGGCGTAGCCTAAAATCAAATTTCCATTGAAGGAACATTAATTTGAAAAATTAAAATTCACGATCCAGGGAACATGAAACACTCTAGCTTTTTCCCAGCCTTATATACACCTTTTTTTACCTGTTACAGATACGCAAAAAAGTTGTGCAAGTCTTTATGAATCCGGGGAAAGAAAAGATGTTGTGTATGCTATCGATCCTGATGGCTTCGGAACATTCCAAGTCTGGTGTGATATGCTAAATGACGGAGGTTGGACCGTATTTCAAAGACGACAGGATGGAAGTGTAGATTTCTATCGTGACTGGTCAGACTATAAGGTTGGCTTTGGTAACTTGAGTGGCGAATTCTGGCTCGGGTTAGATAAAATACATCGTTTGACCAAATCTAATCAAATGGTTTTAATAATTGACATGATGGATTTTGGTGGTTCAAACGTCTACGCCAAATATCAGTCTTTTTCTGTGGCTTCTGAGTCAGACAATTACAGACTTAACATTGGTGATTATCATTCAGGTAAATACCAAGAATAATAAATTTTCTAGACGTACCAACTGTATGCCGTGTATATTTGTAAGAGTTGTATCTAATATAGAGGTTTCGATATTGAGATAATGCCCTGCTTTAGGTTGGAAGCAGGATCTCTAATATGAATTCAATAGGATAACTAACAATCCTTAGGCGCCGAAATTCATTGGGAAACAGTACATAATTATGTTATGTAAAAACGAATAACACAAACGAACGCACGAACTTCCCAACTTCACATTCATCTTATATATACCTAACACTATCGTATACGCGAAATATACGAATAACTTGGTCAGCATTGAAGAGTTACATCACAACATTTCTTTTGTTGAAAAACTCACATTTACTAACATTCTCATGTTTTGTGCAAGAAAATATTTCTCTTTGATCTTAAGCCCTGGTCAAATGAGAATAAAAGTTGGAAGTTGCAAATAGACAATTTTCATTATAGAGTAATCTTTTATATTTGAAAAAATATATATACTCTCGGAAAGAGCATACTAAAATTAGTACATTGCAACGTTTGGTTGCGAAATATTGTTAAAATGCGGAAAATATAGCCTTGATAAGTTCGCAAATTTTGTATACTTTTGTATTGCATGCGGAATTTGCTGATGGTTGTCCAATACAGCAGCATGTCACGACTCGTTACAACTTGTAATGAATGTTTCACGAGTCGTGAAGGACTTAGGAGTGCACCCAGCCAAGTGGTGAACTTCGCGAAATTTGTACGACTCGTTAAATCCGTGAAATTTCACGACTCGTGACAACTTGTAATGAATGTTTCACGAGTGGTGAAGGACTTAAGAGTACACCCAGCCAAGTGGTGAACCTGACGAAATTCGTACGACTCGTTAAATCCGTGAAATTTCACGACTCGTTACAACTTGTAATGAATGTTTCACGAGTGGTGAAAGACTTAAGAGTGCGCCCAGCCAAGTGGTGAACCTGACGAAATTCGTACGACTCGTTAAATCCGTGAAATTTCACGACTCGTTACAACTTGGAATGAATGTTTCACGAGTGGTGAAAGACTTAAGAGTGCGCCCAGCCAAGTGGTGAACCTGACGAAATTCGTACGACTCGTTAAATCCGTGAAATTTCACGACTCGTTACAACTTGTAAGGAATGTTTCACGAGTGGTGAAGGACTTAAGAGTGCACCCAGCCAAGTGGTGAACTTCGCGAAATTCGTACGACTCGTTAAATCCGTGAAATTTCACGACTCGTGACAACTTGTAATGAATGTTTCACGAGTCGTGAAGGACTTAAGAGTGCACCCAGCCAAGTGGTGAACTTCACGAAATTCGTACGACTCGTTAAATCCGTGAAATTTCACGACTCGTTACAACTTGTAAGGAATGTTTCACGAGTGGTGAAGGACTTAAGAGTGCACCCAGCCAAGTGGTGAACCTGACAAAATTCGTACGATTCGTTAAATCCGTGAAATTTCACGACTCGTGACAACTTGTGAGGAATATTTCACGAGTCGTGAAGGACTTAAGAGTGCACCAGCCAAATGGTGAACTTCACGAAATTCGTACGACTCGTTAAATCCGTGAAATTTCACGACTCCTGACAACTTGTGAGGAATATTTCACGAGTCGTGAAGGACTTAAGAGTGCACCAGCCAAGTGGTAAACCTCACGAAATTCGTACGACTCGTTAAATCCGTGAAATTTCACGACTCGTTACAACTTGTAATGAATGTTTCACGAGTCGTGAAGGACTTAAGAGTGCACCCAGCCAAGTGGTGAACCTCACGAAATTCGTACGACTCGTTAAATCCGTGAAATTTCACGACTCGTTACAACTTGTAAGGAATGTTTCACGAGTGGTGAAGGACTTAAGAGTGCAGGAGCCAAGTGGTGAACTTCACGAAATTCGTACGACTCGTTAAATCCGTGAAATATCACGACTCGTTACAACTTGTAATGAATGTTTCACGAGTCGTGAAGGACTTAAGAGTGCACCCAGCCAAGTGGTGAACTTCGCGAAATTCGTACGACTCGTTAAATCCGTAAAATTTCACGACTCGTTACAACTTGTAATGAATGTTTCACGAGTGGTGAAGGACTTAAGAGTGCGCCCAGCCAAGTGGTGAACCTGACAAAATTCGTACGACTCGTTAAATCCGTGAAATTTCACGACTCATTACAACTTGTAATGAATGTTTCACGAGTGGTGAAGGACTTAATCAAGAGTGCACCCAGCCAAGTGGTGAACCTCACGAAATTCGTACGACTCGTTAAATCCGTGAAATTTCACGACTCGTGACAACTTTTAGGAATATTTCACGAGTCGTGAAGGACGACTCGTGACAACTTGTGAGGAATATTTCACGAGTCGTGAAGGACTTAAGAGTGCACCAGCCAAGTGGTGAACCTCACGAAATTCGTACGACTCGTTAAATCCGTGAAATTTCACGACTCGTGACAACTTGTGAGGAATATTTCACGAGTCGTGGAGGACTTAAGAGTGCACCAGCCAAGTGGTGAACCTCACGAACATGAGGAACCGCACTAGGTGCGAAAAAATTAAGAGTGAAGTGTCTGTTGCCATAGAAGTTGTAATTAGGTTTGACAGACACCAATTATAGGCTATTAATAAGAGGAGAAGACACTTTGTAATGCAATACATCGCTTGGTGTAACTGTTAAATATTAAGACATGTATTTAAGTTATTAACGTACAATATGGTTTGTTTACGCTGTCATCACTTTACAAGGAAACTACAAATTATACTGTTTTGCCATAAACGCGCCAAATTAGAATCATCAGTGTCTGGTGTACGTAGCTGGCTTGGCGAATGCATGACAAAAGATGCGGTAATGTATTATCGTGTATATTCGCATTGTTTGGATCGAGCCAGATAGAAATTGGTACGCTTATAATTACTGCTTGCCCGGTTCAAGCATATCAAATAGGAATAATGGCAATAAATATATATTACGATGTTTCCCGTACGAATTCAAGCGGGTCAATATAAAAGACCTAAGCTTCAGGATTACAATGGTAATCCGGTGCCATACCGTTGGTTTAATGCTGGACGGAAAAATCGCCGAAGCTTACGTTGTCTACTCATTCGGTATCTTAACATTCGCGATGAGAAAGCGCAGTTAGCGCACACTTGACGGTGCGTGGCTACAGTCCAGCGTATTCCAGCATATACGCCAAATGGTCAACTCGTTCCCGCTTGAAGATTCAAATTGGCGCCAACACAACACCAAGCGTTTATACTCTGAAGAACAACGAAAGGGACGAAACGGCGCGAATGATTGAGCACATAATGCTCTTTGAGAACAGATTGAAAGACGAACCAAAAACGCATACAAAGTTTTGAAACGGCTTAATTCTCGCTTATACGAACGCGAATGGTCTTCACCTTACTGGGAGTGTTCAGAGTGATGTATATTGGTATGATTAAACAATTTTCATAGTATTTTTCTATGTTGGTGTAGTGTACTCAGGTGAATATGATATTTTTGGTGTTACTCTGAGTGTATATCCACACCGGGCGAGCTTGAAAAATATGCCCGGCCACGGTGGGATTCGAACCTACGACCTTTGGATACTAGCCCAATGCTCTTCCAACTGAGCTACGCGGTCAGGACGGTTCGAGTAAGTCATATTTCGGAACAGAATCTAGTTCCTTCGATACCAATGTATTCTAGTAATATGAATTTTTCTATGTTGGTGTAGTGTACTCAGGTGAATATGATATTTGTGGTGTTACTCTGAGTGTATATCCACACTACACCAACATAGAAAAATTCATATTACTAGAATACATTGGTATCGAAGGAACTAGATTCTGTTCCGAAATATCACTTACTCGAACCGTCCTGACCGCGTAGCTCAGTTGGAAGAGCATTGGGCTAGTATCGAAAGGTCGTAGGTTCGAATCCCACCGTGGCCGGGCATATTTTTCAAGCTCGCCCGGTGTGGATATACACTCAGAGTAACACCACAAATATAATTTTCATAGTTCTGGAAAACGTACAGTAAGTAAATAATTACATGCAGTAACTCATGCCAAAAGGAGTCAAGAAGGGTAGGTTTATGTCAGTCTCTGCAACTCGATCTCGATGTTTTGCAAAGTACAAGCTAGGCTCAAAATATTGGCCGAAAGCTCTCGAATCCACTTACATGATACTGTATTAAATAATCTAAATTCCAATGGAATTTGATGACATTGCTTTGCTATAATGCACAATCTACTGCACGACCTTGCGTGATTGCAAATATATTTATTTGTTCCAAATACTTTTAAGCTGATATACTCTTGTGTCAGAAAGATGTGTCATCTTATGCTGACAGATTTTGAAGATGTTTTATCTTACCTTAATCAGTTGAAGCTTAAAATTATTTGAATATATATAGGCATATGGAACTACGGTTTCTAAATTGAAATGGAATTTGAGTTGCTAACAGCCTAACATAATGTTGCGATAAATACAATATGACATTGCTTTGCTATAATGCACAATCTACTACATGATCTTGCATGATGACAAGTTTATTTGTTCCAAATACTTTTAAGCTGATATACTCTTGTGTCAGAAAGATGCGTCATCTTATGCTGACAGATTTTGAAGATGCTTCATCTTACCTTAATCTGTAATTGAAGCTTAAAAGTATTTGAATAAATAGGCATATGGAACTACGGTTTCTAAATTGAAGTGGAATTTGAGTTGCTAACATAATGTTGCGATAAATACAATATGACATTGCTTTGCTCTAATGCACAATCTACTGCATGATCTTGCATGATGACAAGTTTATTTGTTCCGAATACTTTTAAGCTGATATACTCTTGTGTCAGAAAGATGCGTCATCTTATGCTGACAGATTTTGAAGATGCTTCATCTTACCTTAATCAGTAATTGAAGCTTAAAAGTATTTGAAGTAAATAGGCATATGGAACTACGGTTTCTAAATTGAAATGGAATTTGAGTTGCTAACAGCCTAACATAATGTTGCGATAAATACAATATGACATTG